TTCCAGACTGGGAAAAAACCCCTGTCATTTGTAGCCCAAACTAGTAATATTAAATACAGATATGCCTTTAACATGTTAATCCCCCCAAGCCACAAATAATATTCCCTCCATTCTCTCCATGGCTGGTGTGTGTATGTGTAAAGATGGGGACAGCGGCACACGGTTTGAGCTGATGGAAATCGCACTCCGGCAGCTTTCCTGTGCTCCAGCAGGGAAGCTCCCCTTAGTGAATGTGAGCCAGTGGAACTTTTCTGTGCTGTTGGTTCCTCCTAAACCTGCTGATTCCTTCTGCTTGCATGTGGATGGTGCGATCTTAGTTACACACAGGTCATGCCATGCCATGCCATATTCTATGAGCATATGTGGATGGGGGGCTGTTTTTAATCATACTTGTTGTAATGCACTAAGGTGCATTGCTTCAATGCTGCTCCACTGGCCTGTGATGTAATCAGAAATGTTGTCTATAACTAATATGAAACTCCTGGGCTGACAAATACTTTTTTCATTTGCTTGCTGTGATAAAATAAAAAGCGAGTTTCGAGGGCAGGACTGCACTGTAGTGCCCTCTCAGCTGTAGTCCCCAAGCTTGCTGTGAAGCAAGAGCTTACTGACCCTTTGCTAATGCACAGCACAAGGGCCTCTGCCACGTGGTTCTTTCTTCCTATTACATAAAAGTGACATCACTGAAGTGGGGGGAGGGCTTTGTTTTGTTTTCCTCTCCTTGCTTAGCCCAGAGAAGGAGGAAATATACTGAAGCAAACATCTTTATCTAATCAATCGGTGAAGTGCCAAAGAGTTTGTAGGTGAAAAACAAGTTCCTTTTACTCCCAGGGTCCTATTTGCTTGAAAATGATGCATTATGTAATAGCCAACTATTCTAAGATGAGAGCAGATAGAAAACATAGCTTCTTTGTTCAAATTGCTTAGCCCCAGGGTAGCATTTTGGCTGTTTATCATTTAACAGAGGCAAAGGGTGATTGAATAAGAGGTTAAAAATTGGAGCTTTTAAGTCCCTCTTCACCTGGGAGTTGGAAAGTGTTGCGATACAAAGCATTTTGCAATTTGTATGCAGAAAGCCTACATCTCTTGTTCTTTGGGACTGGGTTTACACAATACACTAAGAAGCCGCCTCCAGAAATCCATGGCTTCTTGAAGGACTTTGTAGCCACTCCTGGGCTTGTCATGTTGTCCAAACTCAGATGACACAACAAGTACAAGTGATGTACTGGAGCCTACAGAGCCACCTGGCCTGAGCAGCTGGAAGTCATGATGACAAGCAGCTCTGATGACAACCACCCAAAGTGCACCCGTGGTGCTTTGGATGGCTCTCAGCAGCTTCCCTACTGCTGTGCTCTGCCTACAGAGGTCCTGGTGGGCCTGCCAGGGTCTGCTGTGTGCTGCCTCCCCAAGCCGCAGGTGGGTCTTGAGGAGGTGGAGCGTGACAGCTGTGTGTTCTGCTGGACCTTCCCTGGGGGAGGGCAAGAAGAGCGTCTCCCTCTGCCTGCTACCACAAGCATCCTGCAATAACCATGACAGTGAGCAGGGGACAGCGGCTTTCTGCTGGGTCGCTCCTAGAGGTGGCCTTGGAGAATGCACCCACCTTGCCTACCACTGCTATTGCAAGGTAATTGTGAGGCAGGGTGGGAAGAGCCACATTCTTCTGGATCACTTTGGGAGGAGACCCAGGGGAAAAAGTCCTTGCACTTGGCCTGGGTGTGTGGGACGATGAGCCTATTTCTTGCTAGCTCTTGTAGAGATGAGTTGCTGAGTGACCCCTCTCTGCCAGAATTTATTTATTTATTTAAAACATTTCTATGCCGCCCCCATCGCAACAAAGCCTCGGGGCGGCTCACAACGTTCATAAAAAGATACAATTAATAATTTAAAAACTGGTACCATCTCGGCTATATATATTAAAATCTATAAATACAAAAATAATAAATTAACAGGTAAAATAACTTTTAAATAAAAAGGTCTTCACCTGGCGCCGAAAAGCATTAGCAATGGGGAGCCTCTGATAGCTTCCTCTAAGTGCTGCTTGGGCACTTGGGGCAGCTGTCACCCCCATTCCATTCCTTAAGTTCTTCTACAGTGTCTCCTGGGATACTGACAGGAAGACTTGGGAGGAAGAGGACTCCCAGTGTGCCTTATCAGGGTCCATAGACTAACTTTAAGGCTGGGGTAGCTTATAAACCAGCCGCCCTGGGCTTAATGCATCCTTCAAATCTGCTGATAGTCTTTTTAGCCTACTGAAACATTCTCCGTTCATTATGAAGGTGCAAGGATATCCTGTTACTGACTTTACCATTGACATGCAAAATATACCTGAAGAACTCTTCTGAAACAGAAAATTATCATAGAATCATAGAATAGTAGAGTTGCAAGGGGCCATGAAGGTCATTGGGTCCAAACCCCTGCTGTTGCAGGACCCATGTTACACCATCCCACTCAGATGGTTTCTTTTTAAATGTCTCTAGTGTGAGAGAGCCCACCACCTCTTTAGGCGGCTGGTTCCACTGTCATATCACTCTGACAGTGAGGAAGCTTTTTCTGATGTTCAGCCTGAAACTGGGCTGTCGCAGCTTGAACTGACTATTCCATGTCCTACACTCTGGCATCAGCAAGAAGAGATCTTGACTTTCCTCCATGTGACAGCCTTTGAGGTACTTATAAGGGGATACCATGTCCCTGTTCAGTCTTCTCTTCTCAAGGCTGAACATGCCCAGTTCTCTCAGTCTCTCCTCATAGGGCAGTATTTCCAAACTCTGGATCATTTTTGTTGCCCTCCTCTGGATCCTTTCTAATTTTTTTGCATCTTTCTTAAATCTTGGTGCCCAGAACTGGACATAGTATTCCCGGTGAGGTCTGACTAGTGAGGAGTACAGGGGGACTACTACTTCTTGCAACTTAGAAGTAATACTTCTGTTAATGCTTCCCAAAATAGCATTTGCCCTTTTGGCAGCTGCATCACATTGTTGGCTCATGTTCAGCCTATTGTCCACAATTACTCCAAAATCTTTTTCTTTTTTCAGTTCTGTTGAGCCACATATTCCCCATCTTGTATCAATGCATTTGGTTTCTTTTAATAAAAAGATGAATGAATCAAAAGATGATTTTTTTCAGATGGTAGCATATGGGGGCATATACATGTGCACCTGTGTTAGGCTAGCTGTTCTGTAGTTTTATGTATTACTTGGGGTTTAGGGACTGATACAATTTCCTGCTGAGCTTCAGCCCTATTTTTTATTTACAAATAAACTACTACTTATTTGTAAATTTGTCCTACAGCTTACTCAAGGGATGCCAACTGGTAATTAGTAAGCTTGCCTCCAGTATGTGTGAACCAGTTCTCAAGATGTATTTGAAAACCTGCTAATGAGGCCTAATGCTTACCCATTTTTTGGAGGAGGGGGGGTGGAAACAACCAAATTACAGGGCTGGAAATAGAAAAGGTCATTTGGGCCAGGCAAGGAGCATCAAGCAGATTCACCTGGCTGTCCACTGCAGCTCCATTCGCTGAGAGCTCCCCTGGTTTCAGAGGTGCTCTGTTCTCCTCCCTGCTTTGGGCAGCTCGCCTATTTCCCACATGCCATGCACTTGGGAAGCAGGGTGAGCCCTGAAAGTCAGGTACAGTCTCCTTTATGAGGTGGGAATTTTCTGAATAATTGCCCATTAAAAGCCACCTACATTGAAGGGAAAAAAAGCTCAGCTGGATAGGCTGAAAGCTGATATTATGCAAATAGTACTGATCTTGAGAGTTACTGGCTTACTGATTTTGAGACATTAGATGTGCAAACTGCACTGCCCAAAAGGGTCTCAGGGTTGAGCCCATACCTCATGTGGGCCAAGTGCAGCTGAAGACCCTGTACTTATTGACTGTGGCAGAGCCAAGTTGTTCTCTCAGGTCTTGGAGTAGCTCTTCAAGCCCTAAAATGGGGTGGAACCAAAGGAAAATGGGAGGAAGCACCAGGAAGTGAGGTCAAAAACTACCCCCACCATGCAAAAAAATTGTACTTTAAAACACATCAGCCTCCCACAATGGGGAGAAATTCAGAAAAGCCTGAAAACTCCCAAATGACCAGTAACTGAGGGAAAGAGGGTAGGGCAGGGGGAAGGGTAGATGGCCTTTTGGGAAACCGCAAGACTTGGCACAGGGCTGAAGGTTCCCCATCTCTGGACGCTGTGGTTAGATTACTTCAGTGCAAAGCAATATCCAGTCCTTGCCTCGAAATGTGTGTGTTTGCATGTTTGTGTACTAATGTGTAGGTGTTAGTAGGCAGTTATCTAGCACTGTCTGCCATGCATACTGATACACGTCTAAAGTGCACCTTTTGTAGTATTTCTAGCACCTTGCTTCCAAGCCACAGAGTTTGACATGATAAGCATGCCCCCGAAAAGCTGTCCTAAGTGCATGCACATTTGCTATATAGGTTGCGGGAATTAACTGAGACAAGTTGCATCTCTGTGTGTGCACAGAGGTGGGGGCAGTTTCTACATACACCCTTTTAATTTGGGCCCCGAAAGCACAGTTTAGCCGATGTTTTAGCTTTAAATCTATATGCCTGTTTCTATACATGGACCACACTGCCTCTTCCAACATGAAGAGAAGGTCACTTGTGCTTGTGCGGAAAGCAAATGCAAGCTCCTCACGCAAAGCAGCCTTTCCCTTTGAAAGCCCGACTGGGCGTGCAGGCTTCAGACAGGCAAGGCTACTTTTGCAAGAGGGAGCGGGCGGGCCTCCGTTCCTTAAAACGGATTTTGGCGCTAACCCGCGTTAGGCATGTTGGGATGTGTAGCATATTGCAGTGTGCGCAGAACCCCTCCTTTACTACGCCACGCTGGCTGGGGTACCTGCTGCTCTCGAAACGTCACACAGATTGCATTATAAAGTGCACACAACAGATCAGCGAGGCATTCATTTTGATATCGGAGTAAAGCAGCAGCAGCAGCAGCAGCAGCAGCAGCAGCGAGAGGGGGGCAGCGCCAGGAAAGAGCCAAAGATGTTTTACTCAGGGCTCCTCACAGAGCCGACGAGGAAGGATGTGGACATGAGGGAAGCCGCGTCTCTCCGACAGCAGAGGAGGATGAAGCAGGCGGTTCAGTTTAACCACAAGGACTCTGCTGACCTGCTGCCGTTAGATGGACTGAAAAAACTGGGAACTTCAAAAGATACTGTAAGATCTATACAGACGTATATGCATACATATTTTGATCTCAGAAACATAGATGCACAAGATTAATTTCAAGCACTGGCTGTGTTTCCTAGCTATATTCTTCTGTGTTCAGGATAATGAGCTTGATTGCCTTCGGAAGCCATCGAAAATGAGCATAGCAATTAAACTGTGGGGGGAGGGGAGGAGGAAGGATGGTGCAGCCTTTAAGCCATTATTAGGTGTTAAATGGATTTTATTGAAAGCTGGAGGTGGTTTATATTTGTGCTTGCAAATGAAACAAGCCATTTCATCTTGGCAATGTTTTCTTTTGCTTTTAAAGATGGCCTTGTTTAGCCAATTTCATTTATTTCCAGTAATGTAAGTGTTCATATTATGGCATGAATCCAGTTGGTTTCAGTAGAAGTTGCTTTTAAGTAAATTTGTTCAGGATTGCAGATTGGCAGCTTTACATTACAATCTTTGTAAATTTTCTTCAGAACCCCAAACATCAGTTTCAGGGTGTAGGAAAAAGGGTTTAAAACCCATCCCTTACAGTGTCATGCCCTTGATCCAGTTTAGGGCAAGGGAGGATATATAACTTACAAGAAAAAAGACATATTGCGAGATTGCCACAGATTTTCTGTGGCTCCTCTACACTGGCTCTTAGTTTAAAATATTGTCTCCCACATAGCAGGAAGCTAGCCTGCTTCCAGAACATACATTTTGAAAGCTTCCCTGGCTTCTTTAAATATACATATACATTATGGTCAACACTGGAAATGAGAATAACAGTCCATTTTGCAGAAACTTCTGTGGATGCTGATTTCTTGCTTTCTCTGGAGTTCAGATCTTGTTCTGTATGCTGTATGATATATCTGACCTCACATTTGTCAAGAGAAAGCTCAATATGGTGAATGATGTGCTTTTTCCAACTTTTATTTTGTGTAGTTGTTATGATGTTAAAACACAGGTTTGGATTTGTAACGGATAAATGAGTACTATGACTATTATAACGTGTTAACAACATGAGCTTGGGAACAAGTGCTGGCATAAACTAAGATGCCAGTTTTAATTAAAATATTGGGATCATAATATGTTCTTACGTATCAACTTATTGCATCTACCATGGGTAGATGGGTTTGTTGAGTGTTTATTAACCCATTTTATTAAGTGCTTATTAACCCAAGTATGCTACTGCTAGGTGCTAGGTTTAAATCTGGTGCTAGGTTTAAATCTAGACATAACGTCTTTAATTTTGGTGAGTCTGTTCTAAGTGGATTTTTTGTGTATATCAGTGCATTGTTCCTTTGTCAACCCAGGAGTCAAATTAAAATTTAAAAAGGATTTCAGGAACTGCAGTCCAGCAGTGGGTCATAGCCAAGGACAAAGAAGGCAAACTGGGCAGAGTCAGAGGTAACCCTTACCAACCTAGACATTTTTCCAACAAGCAAATAGAATCCATGTGAAGTCTAAGTGTGTCTACACAGGAGTAAGCTCCAGGGCAAAAGGTCTCATGCCTCTGAAATCTACACCTCAATTTTAGGCAATTGTTCTCATGACTGAAAATCACAGTTCAGTTCTAAATTGCAGAGTATTCAAAGGTTAATTGCTTTAAAATATAATCACCTCCCATTATGGGTGGAAGATTACTGCAAAAGAAATCTGTGGGCAGATGGAGAACTCTCAGAGCCATGTCCAACCCAGAGAATAGAGGTTCCCCCATCACTGCTTTACATCATCAACAAGCTGGAGAGAAAATTGAAAATCACAGAGAAGTGATGCAGTGAGTACAGGGATAGGATTATTCTGTTCACTCAGCATTGAAATATTTGGGCCCCGTGGCGTCTTTGGATAGATCTTCAGGTGCTTGGTATTGCTATCTTTGGGGCTGATGGTGGGGCACTACACCTCTGCTTACATGTTTTGATGTTATTGGGCCCATGGAATCATGGAGGTACTGCTTGTGCCAAAGGCTTTAAGGCACATCAAGGCGATTTTGAGTCCTTGGAGGCATGGTCACCAACTAATCCTTCATGACCTAATTAGCTACATTCCAGACTCTGAAACTGGTCCTAAGCAGGTGTGTAAAGGTTCAGGATTGGCCAACTGCCAGAGGCAGAAATGCCCTCTGAGGAATAAGCAAAAGGTATCCTTGTGACCAGCGTGCTGCTTGGTAACAGACCATTCCTCAGGGTGTGCTGCTGGCCTGTAGCTGCAGCTCTGAGGTTCAGGGTTAAACATTCCTCTTCCAGACTCAAGCCCTGGAGGAATGGCTCCTGTGCATTAGCTCTCGGAGCCCTGCCTTTCACTGATAACACGGCTGTTCCCTACAGCTCACTGTGTTTGGGTCTAGTGTTGCCTTCTGATCTTTGGTACTGACATTAGAACGCTGTTCCTGTACCACTGCAAGTAGGTCAGTCGGGGGGGTTATGGGGTTGCTACACAACAGCTGGTACCTTTGCTCTTCCAACAGTTCTGGGTTGGCATAAAGTGGGGGCAGCACAGGGTGAAGGGAGATATCCAGTCTGGGCCCTGGTTCCAGTATGCACTGAGAGTCAGCAGGGCTGACTTAAGACAGGATCACAGCAGGGTCCAGCTTGAGTTCCTAAGAGGAAGGTGGAGGCCCACAGATGAAGTGCAGCTACCAACAGCAATCTACCACAATCTAGTACAATATGCCATGAACACAAAAAAGAGCGAGAAGAAACGACTCAGAAGTTGCTCAGAGCCAATAAGTCAAGCACATGAACTCATTCTCAGACTACGGGGCATATAGCATGTATGTGTGTAGCATTTTATGAAGAAATTAATGTGGGGTGGGGAACTAAAGGCCTGGGGCCCAAATCTGGCTTTCTGTGGTCCCTACCCCATCCACCTGGGTTCCCCAGATGACCCCATTCCCTCTTATCTAACCACCAATTGTTTTGTGGGTTCTGGCTTCTGTGCAGTTGTTTGTCCAGACTAGAGGCCGAAATGTCTCCTGAGGTTTAATTACTGGCTGGAAGTTTTAACCAACATACAAGGGAGGCTTTTGTATTTTTGGGCCCAGCCCCATTGCCTTTGCCCTACACCCCACTGTAATTGTACCCTGGAACTGATCCGAAATGGAATTCAGGTCTTGGAATGAACGAGATTCTCTTTCCCTGCATTAAGACAGTATTTCTATTATTTTCTAGTACCCTAAAATAACCTTGTCATCATAACCAAGGAACACTCAAAAGGGAACTCTAATATATAATATATAAAATACTTAGCATGAGTAAAACATTTGATGCCATAATAGTAGCAATAGTTAAAAACTATTATTAAAAGCGTACGGTTGTAGAATATTTCTTGTGATTGTTGGTGTGAGGACTTCATTAGCAGCATCTAGAAATTAAGGATTGACTTCCTGAGAGAAAGAACATACCCAAGAGCATCTTTCTGTTTAACAAACACTACATTAAATGACCTATCAGGGCCTCGTTCCCTCTTCAGCTACATACACACATCCTCTCTACCACCTTGTATTGAGTAATTCACTGGCAAGCCAGAAATGATTAGATCAGGCTTTGATGACACAGTGAATCACAACAGTAAATTTTGCATGGGTTGTGATGTCACACAAAAGTTTCAGGTTACACTCAGAGGGCCACCAATGCTTGTATCAAATATTTCTTTGTGACAGAAGGAACTAGAAGCAAAAGCTTCTGTTTGCTACTTATCTATCAGTAATGGAGTCTCTTGAACAAAAATACCTTAATAAGAGTAAAAGCAGGGCTACTGTAAGTGACATTTGCCCACCAGCGCTGCTGCCACTGACACAAGCTGATATCCAGCCTGGGTCAGAAAATGACAGGATTGGACTGGTGAGAGACACCATGTTCCAGAACCACCTCATTCTAAAGCCGGAGTTAGGACGAACACGCAGGTACACCAAAATTCCGGGGTCAGATTTTGTCTATGGGTTAACCTTACGTGGGATGGATGGAGGAGTTCCTGAAGCCATTGGGCACTGGCAGGTAGTGCCACCCAGGATTGTCAAAGCAAAGGAAGTGCCAAAGGACTTCATTACCATGAATTATAATGGAATCAATGCCGGTCTTTTCACTGCAAGGGAGCACTACCTGTATCGTCAACACCATGATGTCCGCTGCAAAGGAACTGATGGGAATCGGTTCCCAAAGGATCCGCCTCGTCTTCCCGATGCCATGACCTATGGGAGGCCATATCGCCCCTCCACACCCATCACAGATGTTCTTCAACATAAGTTTGGGGATCTCTGGCTACGGGAGCAGCAAGCATTCAAAATACATCTTAAAGAAGAGAAGCACAAGAGGGAAAGGCAAGGGAAAACACATGATACACGGACTGTCTTGCTGAGGAAGCACCAAATCCCAGTGAAGTCGGACTCACTGTGGCACATGCCACGGTTTGAGAAAGTTGCTCCCCATCTCGCCACCTTTCCAACTCAAAAAGACCGCGCAAAAGCTTTCAAAGCTCAGAAGGCCGAAGCTGCAGTTCGACAGGGTCAGCCGGCACAGGGCATTTATACTCATTTATAGGACTTGGCTTGATAAAGAAGCTTGTGACTGCATGTTCTGTCTCAAGAGAAGGAACACTTGTCATAGAAAAAAGAAAGCTTATGACAGTGCTCGTCATGAAGACAGCATTAAAATGAAGTTCCTTGCTGGAAGTTTTATTTGGGCTGCTGTAGCAGGATGTGCTGGTTGTATCTTGGGCCAGCAGGAGAAATGGAACTTGGGCTCGTGCAAAAGAGCAGCGCTGCACCCGCGGCCTTAGCATGTCATAATATGGGATGCAACAGTCCAATGCAGCAGACCACTGTTGCCATGGTAGCAGCAGCTGGCACCAGTAGATCAGTTGGGGCACCCTCTGGAGCAGATTTGGGGGGGGTGCAGGTGCTGGTGGGGAAGGGGAGAGGAAGAAGAAGTTGCATTCTGCAAGCAGTGCTCTTCTACCGCAAGAATGACAGATCTGAATCCCCTTTTGGTATATAGTGGTGTGATAATGTTCAGAATGAAATCCAGTGTTTGGTTAAAAAAAAACCAAACAAACCAAGGATGTCAAATTATGCTTTAGCATAAAAGACACATTTCTTTGTTAATGAGAGAGGAAGACACTGCTCTTTTGTTTTTGCCAGAGAAAAGACCCCTTGTTTGGAAACCAGTCTCAATTTCAGACAACTGATCTGTATTCTTCTCCCAAATCTTTTTATTTATTTACTGTATATCCACCTTCATTCCTCTGGTCTGTAGACTATCCTGAATATATGCACTAATTTACTATCATTTCCTTTTTTGCGATCATCACAAATTGCATTGATTGGGCAATCTTTTCAAGGTGTGTGTGTGTGTGCAGTCCATGCATATAAGCTGCATATTCAGAAAAAGGAAGCTCTCAGGTACATAAAACAAAATAGTCTCTATGGAATCTATTTAATGCTTAAAAATTGATTCACTGTTTAACATGGGTTTTTGGTGAGCTATCATGACTCAGAACATAAAATGTGTAATTTAGCTGCTTGCATTGTATTTGTGATAACATCTGGATTTCTTTTTATTCCGTTTCCATGGCTCCAGCCCTTCTTCTCTCTAGGTCTCTTGGTTGCTTCTCTGACTAATGCCCTCCCTACCTGGTCACTCAGTTTTGCTGGTCGGCTTCCTTCAGACATAGTTGTGATTTAGCCATATTCTTCCCATTCTGTAATGATGGATTTAATGGTACTCCAGGGGATGTTCATAGTTTGGGAATTTTTTAAAAACATCCAATTCCAATTGTTGCTTCTGCAGGACTTTATCCCAGAGCTGATTTGATTGCTTGGAAAGAGCTGTATTTAATCTGAGGTCATGTGACACTGGAGTTGCGCACAGGTGGGCACCCAACTATTTACAGTGACCTCGGGAGACAGTCGTTTGCATCAGAGTTTATTTAGGCATGCCACAGCAAAGAGGGTGAATACTTATGGAGGCAGCATTGCAGGTTTGTTTTTGTTTACTTGTGAGCCACAGTAAACATTTTGCACCTCCACAGTGTTGAATATCTGGTGTGCATCAGTGTTAACAGTGCCAGTAAAATCTACTTCACTTCTGTGTTGTAACAGAACAAACTGTGGAAAGGTCCAGGGGGGACAAATGCTTCTGCAAGGCGTTGTAGGCAAAAATCAAGGTTCATCACTGGGGCATCACTGAGGTGCAGGGCCAAGCCAGCCTTTGCTGATCAAATCTGTTTCTATCTGCACAGTCTTACTTCTTGAGTTGTATTTCTTGGTTACAAAGGAGCATGACTGAAGTGACCTGCCTGAAAGTGCAGTAAAAGTTTGAGACCAAGCATGCTGGCCTCACTTCCTCTTCGGATACAGGGCTCAGTTGTTGGGCAAGTGTGCTAGAATGTCAGAAATGGGTTCTGATATCGATAGCATCATCTTTTGTCTAACATTCATTTGTGTATGTGTGTGCTTGTTTAGCTAGCTCCATCAGTGTGCAATGTAATTGGTGGTTTTGTCACAAAACCCATAAACAGTATGGCCAGATAGCATCAGAGAATAAAGCTGCTGTTTCTGGCAGATCTGCTGATCGAGTGACAATAAGACCTGGGCACCAGTTCTACCAAGTTAGGCAGTTCTAGTTTCTGAGAAATGTGTTTACAGCACCAGGGCTCATTTCTCTTTGCTGTGCGGACAAAGTCCCATTTGTTTTCTACCATAGATAATCTGTTAAAAAATAAAAGGCAGAGTGGCTGCATGAAGCCTTCTTATTGGTAGCACTCCTCCTCCTCCCTCGCTGTTTCCTCCGCTTTTCTCTTCCTTATCTTCATTTCTCTAGGCAATGTAACAAAGCACATTGCGTACCTCTTCCTCTGAGTAGGTCATCATTTTCTGACCTCACAGGACTAAGCATTAAAGGAAGACCAGAGGGGTGAAGATTCTGTAGGTCCTCCCAGCCACTGTCATGACTTCTTTCCTGGAACAACAGCATCTCTGGAGGATTGTCATCTTATTCCTCTTCAGGTCTATAAACCGATCAGCAGAGAGAGGTATCGAAGGTTATCTAAAAAGACCACTGGGAAATATTCCTCAGATACTGTCTGCAAAGGACGAATAGTTTTCTGGAGAGAAAAAGAGACTGTTTGGATTTAATTGATCAAGATGGGGGCTCCCTTTCAGCCAACAGCTTCATTTCATTTCAGAAAAGCTCCTGGGATGCATCCTGGGGTGGGTAGGGCCCAAATCAAAGGGTGGGGCCAAACTAGCAGCAAATGGTAGCTTCAGTTCTTACTGCCAGTAGCTAGGACTTCAGTGGCTGGTGGGGAGAGGAAAGGAGGCATGTCTGTCAGAGCAAGGAGATATGGCTATCTGTGAGGAGGAACTGTGAGAGCTGGATAAGGACTCTGAGTGGGCCAGAGGCCCCCCCACCCTTGTTATAGATGATACTTGAACATTACAGAGCATGGACAAGCTATGCTCCCTTTAGAGAACCATCTAGGAGCTGCTGTGTATGCCAAATACTTGTGTATCTAGCAGAAGTGGTTGCTTTTGGCATGGATATATTTTGTTCCTGTAGTGCGACAGGAAGCTCTGAGAGAGGGAAATATTATTTATAACTTTGCCCTCTATCTCTGCCATATCTAATGCTTATTTGCTGGGTGCTCATTTTGTTGATGCCAGCAGAAACACACAGAAAGTCGTCATAAATCTTGCCTTAAGGAGTGCACAGTCAAACTCCATCAAGAGTTAACGACAAGACACTAATAGTTCTCACAGAAGTGGGGTACTGAGAAAAAAAGATGTCTGTTCAGGGAACACTTTGTGGTACAGTAAGGTCTGATGGGCAAGGAGGCCAGGTAGAGGCAGAGGAAAAATAAATATTGCTGGTGAGTTGGAGTAGCTTGAAGGAAACAGGGAAACCTGGAAGTTGCACAAGAAGATAGAATCAACACTGCTGTGTGTGAGAGACTGAGGTATGGCAACACTACCAAATTATTGTTAGTGTTATAGTTTAACAGTGGCTGCTTTCCTCAAAGAATGCCAGGAATTAATGCTTGATAAATGTATTATAAGATCTGTCACTACTCCTTTGCATAAAAATGCAGCTCCCTGGGTTCCTTATGAACCTGGTTCTTCTGTCTTTCTCAGACAGCAGAGCTGCTTCCAAAAGGATGGTTTCTAGCGCTATCCATTCATTGCTCTTCTTTTTTTAAACTACAATGGCTGGATTTTCAACACCCAGTGAAATTTATGTGAATTAGTTCTTGCCTATCGAATTACTGTAAACTGCCCAGTTGAACTTCAGCTATTGGGTGGTATAGAAGTTAAATTATTGCTATTATATGTCGTCATCATCATCATCAAGTTAAACTATTATTATGAGATTAATATAATAATAAATAGAATAATAAGTCATGCGCATTAGTTTCAGCCCTGTGGCTCTTTGATTGAAACTTCACTGCTTGATATACAGAGAAAAGTTAGCTTCCACTTGGTCTTTGAGGATGTTCCCACATGGTGAGCCAAAGCCTATCCAGTAGTGTTTGAATGCAGTTCCTGGCAGCACTATATTAGCAGAAAATGCCTATGAAAGAAACAGTTTTGTGCTATGTGTATGTGCTTCAGGGCAGAGGCAGAAAGAAAAAGAGATTTATGGCTCTGGCCTTCATCCATTCCCATCAAGTCCCACCTTCTGTCCTCAGCATCTGTCTCCCAGGGTGACCACCTCACTCAGCCCAATGGTGGGGTTATCCCTCAGGACTGCCCCTGCCTGAATTACTTTACAGAGCGATTGATGGCCTGTGCTCCAGAACTGTATGTAGTACCTGCCATTTCAAGAATATTCTGGATACAGTCAAACCAGACCTCTGACATGATTGACCGGTCCCTTCCTTGAGTCTGCTGAGTGAAAATCTAAGAGGAGAAAGAGAAAAGGAAGTGGCAGAAAGAGAAAGGGGGTAATCCACCGCTTTTCCACCCCTCACTAGATTCAACCCTACACACCAATGACACTTGTCACCTGGTCACTCATCAATGAAGGAATGTGGGTCTCAACAGAAAAATAGTTCCCCAACCCTCTTTTACAGTGGGCCTATTTATCTCTAAGCACTTGATTGTCCTGATGGATAACCTGTATTGTGGACAAAATGCTACTCCAGACAGAATCTGGAGAAACAGAAATGGTTTCCTATAGGCAAAGGCATCAGGCAAGGGTGTGTTTTATCTCTGACTGTTCAGCCTGTACATAGAATAAGAAAAGCTGGATGTGGATCAGAGGAAGAAGTGAAAAATGGCAGAAGACACATCAATCATTTAAGAGGTGCAGATCATTTTGTATTACTGGCAGAAAGCCGCAATGAATTGAAATGGCTTCTAATGAAAGTGAAAGAAAGAAGTGAAAAAGCAGGACTGCAGCTAAACATGAGGAAAGGAAAAGGCATGACTACAGAAGAGTTACAAAACTTTACTGTCAATAATGAAGACACAGAATTGTTTGTGAAAGATTTTGCATATCTAGGCTCAATCTTAAATTCAGATGACGAGTGCAATGAGGAAATTTGAAGAAGACTGAGACTTCAAAGGACAACAGTGAAGAAACTAGAAAAGATCAGCAAGTGTAAATGTGTTTCACTGAAGGCTAAGATCATCCACACTATTGTATTCCCAGTCAGTATGTATGAGTGTAAAAACTGGACAGTGAAGAAAGCTGACATGAAAAAATAGAAGCATTCAAAACATGGTGCTGGAGGAGAGCTTTGTAAATACCCCAAACAGAAAGAAAGACAAGCCTTCCCTATCTCTCCAACTGCAACTCCTGTTTGGACCCCAGGGGCCTAGAACCAGGGCACCTCTCTTTAGACTCAAAAATATTTAGGAAGAAATGAAATCATCTGTGTTAAGATGATGTACATTTTTAATGCAATGATGAAATATAAATGCAGAATGTAGACAAGTGAATGAAAGCTTGCATTCCTCTCTTCTCTGGTTGCATTGGTCCTTTGATACTCCACTGGCCTCCAGAATTGCTTGGATGAGTGACATGTCAGTTCATTTCCCCAGGCTGCGATCAAAGGACCATGTCGCTTGTCATGGATTTTATAAACTCCCCTTGCACAAGTACAGAGTTTGTCTCTGTGCACACGGGCTCCCCCTTCCCTCTTCGCATGAGTGAAGCTGCTTCAGTAAGGTAAATAGCTTTGTTCTCGCAGCAAAGGTAGCAGTTATCTACAGAATGACTGGGCAAAAGAGCTTCATGGCAATAATCTCTGGCGTTCTTCCTAACAAGCATCTTGGCCTTTGACAATGGGAAAGTTCACTGTACAGTAGGATCCCCATATCCACACGGATTGGTTCCAAGCCTCCCAGCAGTTGCCTGAAACCACAGATAATAGCAAACACTATATTACATATACTCGATACATACATCTTTTTATAATTTAGTTCATTTTTGCCCAGGCATACATTTTTTTTCCTTTCCCTATTAAATCAAGAATTTTCGCTTACAGGAAGCATTTCACAATTTCTCTGGCACTTCACGGTCCTTTATGACTTCTCTTTCAAGCCAAGTTCAACTGCAGTCCAAAATGCCTGGAGGCCACCTGGTTTGGAAAAACTGCTTTAGGTTTTCATCTGGAGGGGTCCTTTCCAGCTGTACTTGGAGACACCCAGCACTGAGCCTGGCCCTCTTCGATAGGCAAAGCCTATGCCTTACACAAACTCCTTTTGGGCAATACACCCACTATAACCCTGCAGGGCTGGCAACACCTAGAGCATCAAGTGATGTTTTCCTTTTAGACAACTATTAAAGATTTGGGAAAACAGGAGTTCCCTCCTCCTCGTTTGGCAAATGTCCAGATAGATTTGATCTGCAGTGCATTTTTTCAGCTGTCATGATACAGAGCTAGTCAACCCAGGGCTGTGAGAACAAGGAAGACCAAACTTCTGTACCTTTAATATGTGCTGCTTGAAAAAGGAAAAGGAAATTCATGTTATGTGTGTGATTTTTTTCTCATTATTTTAATTTCTTGACTCACTCTGAAGGCATTTATGGAATTATGCTTCCAGATGGTAACCCGGTTCACGCATAACACTGGCCCACCACGTATTCAATCCATAACTTGTTATAATCTGATCCTAGGTCAACAAAACATTGGTTAACCATGGATAAAGCCACAGGCTAGCATTATGTGTGAATCAAGTTTTTGGCTTTCTCATATTTGGATAGGAGGTATGTGAATATTCTCATTTTTCAATGTTACTGTATATGCAGGGCTCTACAAATATGGGATATATTATTCGTGATCTATTCTACTGTGAATTGTATATCAGTGAAAAGGTTTGACTGAGCAAATGGTAAACTACCTGTACAGAACTTCATGCATCCAACTTTGTTTTATTTGTAGTGATTGATAAAAGGATTGGAGCAAAGGCCCTAAAAACAATTTAGTAAACTGTGGTTATGATGAATGAATTGACTGGATTGTTTGATCATTTTTGTGACTCTCTTCTAGTAAAATGTAAAAAATCTGCCGTGGTTATGCTCACTGGCTGAACTCACAATATGAGCAAGTACAGGATGACTTAGTGTGGCAAGATCTTCAGTGCACTTATTTTGTCCTGATGCCAGTAACCATTTTGCTGAAAGCAAAACTGAGATATGAAATGAATGAGGCAGTCCACCCCATGTTTCAAACCAGCAAAGAATATCTTGAAAATTGGAACATAACTGGCTTCATCCCAAGCGCATGGCATAATTTGGTGCAGGATCAGGTTGCAGAGATCATAATGAATGGTTCTTTGTCTCAATTCTTTGTGTACAAAACACAACAGTTCAGATCCAGCCATCAGTCTGCTTGCATTGTGGACATAACTGCCACTCTTGTTTGGCACAAATACTTTTAATTACTGGGGCTTTGAAACTGCAAATTGCTGTCAAATGTAACAATTTGATTTACCTCTTTCCCCCTAAACCAACACTTCCTTCTCTCTCTCTCTCTCTTACTCTTTCTCTCGCTAGCAACCTCATAATATCTTGCAGAAACGCTTGATGGAGACAAACATGTCCAAGCGCCACAACCGTGGGTCCTCCTCACAAAAAAATGACCTCTCAGCTCAGGCAAATAAACTGAATCAAATGAAGTTGGAGGGCCCCAAGAAAACAGAACAAGAGGACCTGATCCTGGTATGCTGCCAGGTATGCTTCTGGCTTAGGTTTGATCATGTTAGTTGATGTTCCATTGTGACAAGACAACTATGCTTCCAAAATGTAGGCATTTCAGGACAGCTTTTCCAACACTTTTATGAGGAGTCAGAAGCACTTAAGTGCCTGAAATGCTGTCTACTGCCAACCAAAATGTTAATCAATTGAACATATGAGTTTAGTTGATTAATTTGTTCAGTAATTAATTTTGCTTCTCTTTGTATATGAATAACGCAAACATTAGGAAAAGCACATATGTTCTTAGATGGTTCTTGTATGTGTTACAGCAGGCACCATCTTAGAAGAGGCATTCCCTCTTGACAGAGTGCCTCTTCTGACATGGCGCACACTGCCCAAAGGTTTCATAAGTTCTTCCGTTATAATGATGGTTCTTTAAAAAATATGCCTCCTATTTAGTTCAGGGTAACATTTTTAGTCAATCAACAGTTTAAAAAAAACATGTAGTGTAGGGAACTCCAGTATGATGTTTGTGGACACCTGTAAAACTTGTTTAGACATTTAATTCAATTTTAATATATGTCCCTGGGTTTGTATATATTCATAGCAAGGAATGCATAGGCATACAGCTTTCTAGCAATTATTTAGAACTACCCATTTGAAGGTTGCATCTACATGTCACCTATCCAAATACTAAAAACACTGCAAGTCCCTGAATCCATTGCATTATAGCAGAAGACTCTTTATTCCAATGTTGTAGTATCAGTTTTTTAGCTATTAAAAGGGACTAAATAATCCTTTTATGTCCACTTGTTAATTTCTGTGAACCAGGTAAGTAATTTAAAAAGCATGTATATAAGTGACTGTTTAAGACTGTTCCAATAAAAGAAAAATTACCAATGTAATACTCTTCCTGCCAAAAGAATAAATTCTGGATGTTACCAAAAATATACTTAAAAGAAGCATTAGCCATATTGCACCACTAACAGCCAAATTAGACAGTCCCTTATTAAAGAGACACTACAGTGGCCAATAAACATGAAACAACAGGTTTGGCTGAATAAGGCGCAGCCCATCAAAGCTGTGACCCAAATTTTGTAGTGGCGCCCACAGTAGTGTCCCATGGGTCAAAAAGGTTGGCACCCTCTGAACTAACGGGCAAATTGATTCCACTTTGCAGCTCTATTCACTCAGTTCTATAGTGTGGGTTTTCATTATTGTTTCATTGTAAGTGATAGAAGATAATCATTTGACCGTGTTGTTTATTACTGTTTTATCATATTATTCATTGGGTTGTAGTATTTTTATCTTGAGAAATGATTTGGGGTTTTGTTTGTTTGTATGTATGTATGAATGAATGAATGACACCTGGATTGACAGGCAGCCATGGTGAAGGCTGCCCATCAGCTGAGGGCTTAGCTGCCTGAGGGGTTTAACCCACTGCTGGACAGAGGCTTCTTTTTCCATTGGCGCTGAAGAGAAGAAAGCCATTCTTTACACACAGCTTTTTCCAGGGATTTGAACCTTGCTGCCTTTTTATATGTTTTATTTACTAAGCCCAAGGTGGTACAACTTCAGTGTAGTGGATTTTCATCTTTTCACAAGCCTTTTGTTCTGGTTTGTCATGATTTAAAATTTAATACAAGATTTTCCTCACTCTAAAAAGCCCCCACGTAATTGTTTCAAAAAGCTGGAAAACTTGGCAAGGCCCCGAAGAGCAGATGCCGTGAGGGATCATGACTCACAATACGTGCCTTCCATAGAGAGACCTGCTGCAGAGGGGCCTCTTCAAGAGCTTGATGTGCCTCCCGGCATGTTTGGCCTGCAAAATTGTGTTAGAGGAGGCTTGTCAGACACCCAGGAGGACACCGTTCCTGGCTGACAGGTGACATTTACTTGAGGAGTCATAATTTGTGCAGGTGTAATCTACACATCGCTGGTGATGGCTAACGCTCAGTGCTGCTTTGCTCAGAAAGTTTTGCTTCGCACGTTCCATTCCAACTGCACAGCAGCCCCAGAAGCACATAAATTCCATATGGACAAGTCACTGCAATAGGACTCTCCGGCAATATTGCCATAGCTTTCTGGCAGGTAGCATATTTTAATCCATCCTGTAATGGGGATCATTCATTCCGGTGGTGGTTGCACCTGCATGCAAAGTTCTAGGTGACACTCTGACGGATGCACACCAGGGGCCAGTGGGATTCATCACACAGAGGCAAGTTTTAACTGTGTGAACATCTCCTGTCTTAGCATGGTAGGAAGTACCTGTTTGAAGGAGTACTAAACTCAGAGTTCTGTTAAATTCACATAAACTGTAAAAGATGCAGAGTTAATATCTAGAGAAACCATACTTCCATTGGAAAATCCACCAATGATAAAAATGAGGCTTCCAGACTGGCAGGGTAGGGATGTAGAGAGGAAAGGTATGTATGTATTAAATTTCTGTCCTGCCCGTTAGTTAAAATGACTCTCTGGGTGGGAATATGATTTTCAAATATCTATTCTATGCTACAGTGAAATTAAAAGTAGATCACTTGCTTACCTTCAGTTGATTCCTTTAAATGCTCTATTTTCCCCCAACAGTGTTCTGGGAAGGAACTACAACTTGTTGTTGACACCGGATGTCAGCATAATATCATATCATCTGCCTGTTTGGAGAGACTTGGGTAAGTGTTTTTCTAGGCTGCTGCTAAAAAGATGGATTGAAACACTAAAACAACTGAAAATGTCCCACAAATGTTTGCTTATCTGCTTTTGAACTAAACCTAGATCCTCCTTTGTGGTGCTCAGAGACTGTCTGAATGCAGTTCTTGTGAGAACTACAAAGAAAGAAAGAAAGCCAGGCACAGAGTAAACGGCAAGGCTCTAGTTCCCTATAACAGTAGAGAAATGGATACTTCGTGCCAGTGCTGTATTTGCAGGCAATGAAGCATCTTTTCCCTCTGTCTTTGGCCTGCTATAAATAAGATTAGAGACAGATCATAGTTTCTAAAGAGTTGAAACAAGGTTTGAGGAAAAGCTCTATTTCCCATCATGTTCAGGCACATTTTTTTTCTCTTTCCATTGTTTCCACCTATCAAGTAGGTTTGACTGGTTTTTGAAAGAGTATAAAAACCCGATTGCTAAACCATGGGGACTGCATATACCCTAAACAGTGTTTAAGTTTTCCTCATGAAATTTAAGGTTTGTGCGTCCAGAGGGATTTCGTAGCAGTCATTCACTCCATCATCCAATCAGACCTTACCTTGCTTTACACCCTGACTGTGGATTTGATGGAATCTCCAAAATTCCCTGGCATGTTCTTATGCTAAAGTATTGAGATCATTTCATCGATTCACCATAGTTATACAAACAATAAAAAGGACTCTTTGAGAACCACCCCAATCTGACTGCTGAGAACACAATTGTAGTTCTCAGTGGTTGGAGAGAGTGGCACCTATTAATTAACAAAGCACTGCTGAGCAAGTTACATGCTTGTTGCACAAAGTCATAATTATACATTTAGTGGCTTTATGCTGTAAGATAATCTTGCCTCCTGCAGAACAGCTGGCACCATTTCCTCTTTTCAGCCTATTGGGACCTGTAGGATATCTATGCATTTATTTAAATTCTATACCATCTGATAGCCAAAGGTTGAGCAAGCAGGTCTCTTTCTTTGGCAGCTCAATAAGAGGCATCCATTTCACAAGTCATGCTCTTTGCACATCCAGGAAAAGGTGTAGTTATTGAAGGAATGATTGGCTGCATTCAGACAACATGATAATGCACACTCAAGAGTTGAGTGTGGTTTGTTGTGAACACGGAGTTTTTTGTTTAAACACAGTTGCACTAACAAACCATGGCTGATTAGCCACAAGCAGCAACAACTCAAAATCCACCACAGACTATGGATTCTCTTTGTGAAGTTGTGAATATCAACCACTGTTGTTTACTGTGATTCGATTCAGAGAATACGATAACCCGCATTTCAACAACTCACAGTTTGGTGACAACCCACACTGAATCCGTACTCAACCTGTATGTGTACGTTATCTTGTTTTCTGATCCGATCCAGTGATTGATTGATTATATTTCTATACCACCTTCCAAGGCAGTTTACAAAAATTCAGAAAACACAGGTCATAAGCAAAAGAAAGCATAGTTAAATGTTAGAAAACCTACAATTTAGAAAGCCAAATTAAAAAGATGTGTCTTGACCTCCTTCCTGCCTGCAGAAAATGTGGGGAGCAGACAACTCCAGCCATGTATTACTGTTTGTTTGTTTGTTTGTTGAGTTATAGCACAGGCTTTCGAGAAGACATGTGTAATACATAAATTCTGTCTGTATAAATGTGAGGGAACACCAGCAGAGGAGACAACTCTAGCTGGGGATGAATTCTTCTTCAACAGAGAACAGCTATAATTTCGGGATAGAGCATAGATGTGCTTGGAATGCAGAGAGGGCGTGGCTTGGGCAGAGAAAGATTTCTGTCTGAAACCTAGAGAGTGACTACAGCCAGTACTGAACTCTGTGGTTGCACAGGGCGTATGAATCATTACGGCACATCTTGCTAGGCTGCAAAGAGGTTGCACACTCTCCAAGTTTTGTGTTGGCTGTCTAAGAGCAGACTGATGTGGGGATGTTAACAAGGGAGGAACATGATCTCTTTGTTGTGCAGAGCTTTGACCAGCTGATTTCTGTACATCAAGCTGCTAGTGAAAATGTAAGAATAAGCCAGGCCAGTTGGGTTTTTTCCTTCTTCTTCCAGTCAGCTGGTCAACCACTGAATTGTCCTTGCAGCACCATGTTAGCAACCACTGGCACAGCTCCTGTTCTCCAGACTTTCATCACTTTGGGTCCTTTTCTGGAATTGGTGGCAGTGTGGGGAAGGGGAGGCAGTTTGATATAAGGACCTGTGGATCAGACTTAGGTTTGAGACATCCTTGAAGATTCCTACAACTCACATATGATGATAAAAACACAGGTGTTGTGAAAGTTAGTCCTCTCTCTTTTTATTCTAGAATAGGTGCCCCCAACACAATTCAGATCAGAACCACCACCAGAAGGAGTAGAAGATTAAACCTTCTCATCCATGCCATTCCACCTCCCAGATCTTCCCAGGCCCACCCATGGTTGCCTGATGACCCCCATTGTCAAAGACCTCTGCAGAGTTTCTTTCCAAAAGGAAATTCCTTTCCCGTCTCCAAGTGATCCCACTCCTGAGGTTGCTATTTTTGCAGTGCTAGGAGAAGTAGAGAACAGCAACCTTAGTGGAGATCACTGGGGAACAGAAGGGAAAAGCTTCCCACAAGTAGTTTTCCCACTTCTTGTGCAAGAGAAAAAGTGATCCCAGGGGAAATCATTGGGAATGGGAGAGACTTTCACCTCTACCCCACAAAGATCCTTAGATCTCAATAGGAAGGGGGAGGAGGTTTAAGCATGTGGGAGGGGGGCATGTGTCTGAGCTCCCAGCTGACACTGCATATGGCACTCTGGGCTAGAGTGCACCCCTGGTGTGTGGAATTGGTTCTTGGTCCCTACAACATGAGAAGTACTAAGAAAGACAGAAGTACTGCTGAGTCTATAAAGGGTGAACAAGCCTTGCTAGTGAGCTTCCACAGCCCTGCTCATAAGCCTCAGTCTGTGTCAGAAGAGTTCTCATATTCAGAAGGAATCACTTTCAGGAAGGCAGGCAGGGTGGCTAGCTGGCTGAAGTCCCAGAAGCTCCGATTTTAGAACATATCTTGAAAACTAGAAGGCTTAGATGTTGTGATCTTCATTTGTGCCGAGGAAATTAGGGCCTATATTTCCTGGGGAGGAGGGGAGGAAGGAGAGAGAACATTGAGTTTAGTACTCACCATATGGCGATCAATCCTTTGGCCATGTAACTTAGCCAGAAGTACAGTCTACCCACCAGGGCAGCTCAGAACAAGCTTCTGTGTCAACACAGCAAGAAATGTCTAGAGGATCCAGCTGAGCTCTTCCGGCCACATTCATTTTCAGCTTTTTTGACTAAATATTTGTTCAGTAGTTGTTTCTGTTACGCAGAAGCACTCCTTCCTTTTGTCTGTTAACAGAGATTAACAAAATGCTAAAATTCAGCAAAAGAGTCAAGATTTCAAACTGGAAATCTCAAAATCCAGTGATCACATGTGTTTGTCTAACCACCCTTGTTGGCCATGGGTGGTTCCATGCTAGTCTTTTTTCTATTCTACTCCTTCCAGCACAAGGCAGTCTTGCTGCCACCCATTTCAGCAAGTGACAGCAGGGGAGTCCCTATTGTTATCCCTGAGCTCAGACTGTAGTTTACAAAGGAGACTCTCTCTGTAGGGTCTCAAGCTTGGTGGAATCCAGGGAGATGCTGTGGGCCAGATTGGAATGCCCTGTGAGCTGGAGTTTCTGCATCCCCAATTTATGCTGTTGGCACAGTTTATTCATTTAGTCCTGAATGTTCAGATGTTTCTCCCAAGGTGTTGTATTCCCAGTTTTCCCAGGTGTAATTTTTTAATGCTGGTTAGTAACTATTTTTGGAGTGCTGCTGTCTTAGCTGCTTTGTATCTGGTATTGATGCATTTAACCATCTCCTAAGTGCATATTTTCCCCTTCACCATTATCTGCTTTAAAATGTTCTCTCTCTGATGGACTTTCTGCTGTTCAGAGTAGGCCAGGGATAGGCAAAATGTGGCCCATCAGATGCTGCTGGTCTGCAACTCCCATCATTGGTCACCATTCACCATGTTAGCTAGG